CCAGGCTCGACACCTCCAGGCTCAGCACCCCCAGGCACAGCACCCCAAGGCTCAGCACCCCCAGACTCCGCACCCCCAGACTCCGCACCCCCAGGCTCAGCTCCCGCAGCAGCACCAGAGTCACCAGTGACCTCAACAGGCTCGACCGCGTCTACCTGGGACACACCTGAAGGGGCAGGACCCTGAGGGGGGAGGGGGACTACCGGGGGGGGACGTGGTACCAAGAAGAGCGGGGGTGGGGGGAGGGACGGAGTGCGGTAGGGGAAGAGGCGGTAGTAGGGTACCGACTCGTCGAACGTGACGTCCTGGGAGGACAGAACACGTCGAGAGGTGGGGTGGTAAAACTGCCACCCAGGGGCGTCGGGGGGGAACCCCAGGAAGACGCAGGGAGAAGCACGAGGGGACAGCTTGTCCGCAGACAGGTCGCGAACAAACGCCCGAGATCCCCAGACTCGGAACGCCGACGCATCGCCAACCTTCCCCGTCCACAGCAGAGCTGGGGAGGTCTCCGGTCGAGAGACCCTGGGGTGGAGGTTGATCTGGTGCGCAGCGTACCTGACCGCAAACGGCCACAGAAAATGGGGAGCAGCCGCATGCATCATGGACGTACGAGCGACGTCCATGACCATGCCAATGCGGCGCTCAGCAATCCCATTCTGCTGTGGTGAGTCCGGAAGCGTGAAGGTCTGACGGATGCCTCGCACACGACAGTAGGCACTCAGGAGGGCAGAGGAGAACTCTCCGCCTCTGTCCGAGTGCAGACGCAAAACAGGGAAGTCAGAGCCAAAGCTCCTCCGAAGCTGAAGACGAGCTGCGCGGATCCAGTCGATCAACACCTCAGTGACCTCACCCTTGCTGCGCAAGGGGAAGACTGTGGTGTAACGCGAGTAGTCGTCAACCACCAGCAGGAAGTAGCGCTCCTGACCCTGTCCACGGACGCGGGCTGGGCCCCACACGTCCATGTGAAGCGTCTGCAACGGGGCCTCTGTCGGAGGAAACTGGGAGGAGTGAGGGGCAGCACGCTGGCGCCCCTCGACAGAGGGGACACAGGCCGGGCCAGGGCCCGGAGGAAGGGGAGGGAGGGACCGGGGAAGACCAGACACAAGGACCCGCGAGGCCATGCCTCTGAGCCTAAGCAGAGAGGGGTGGCCAAGGCGGTGGTGCCAGAGGAGGGTCTCGTGAGACAGACGACGACACGAACAGGGGGCAGACTCAGGACCACACCTGGACGCTGCAGCAAACACTTGACCAGACGAAGGGACCCTACCAGACGCAGTACCTGGAGGAGAAGCAGTGGTCAGTGTGTACAGGCTCGACCCTGGCCGACGTGTAAACGTAGCCAGGTGGCGACTTGTATCCGCCTCCGTGCAGTGGGTCACCCGCTGACGAGCAGGGGTGAACTGGTGGACACCCGCATCCTGAAGGTCAGCACCACTCACCAAGTTCGTCGAGAACGAGGGGAGGTAGAGACCAGTCAGGGTGCCAGAGGGGGCCGCCGGACACGGGAGGACAGTGGAGAAGCGAGACAGGACAGGCCCCCCAGAGGGGTCAGCCAGGGACACCGCAACTGGCCGACTCAGCGGCGTGAGAGTGGTGCGGTCCCTAAAGAAGGAGCGAGACGCTCCAGAGTCAAGGGTGAAGGTGTGAGAGGCCGAAGCCGACACAGTACCTGAGAGGGCGGACTCACTAGCACCTGAGAGCACAGACGCACTGGCACCTAGAGCAGCAGCCTCACTAGTACCTGACGCGGTAGTACCAATGCCCGGGTCGGGCGGGAAACACCGGTAACAGTCATCCTCATCACTACCAGTCACAGCATACATAGCAGAGAGAATAGCATCAAAGTCAAGATCATAAATAGCTACACCAGCCCTAGACAGCTCTCCCCAGCGGGGGATCTCAGCGGCCTCCGGAAACTGCTGACGCCAGGCGTCGGTCAGGCAGCCAAAGCAGCGACGGGCTGTGTGGGCGCCTCCACACCTCTCCCCTGCACGGTCACCAGTGCGAAGAACGTAGGGGCAGGGACCAAGCGCACCACCGCGCTGACGCTGCAGGTACCACTCACGGAGCTGCTGAGGGCCGGGGATGGTGCGAGAGCGCTGCTGCTGCTGCGGCTGCTGCTGCTGCGGCTGCTGCTGCGGCTGCTGCTGCTGCTGCTGCTGGCGCTGACCACCCCCAGAGCTGCTCCGCTGGGACGAGCCACTCCGACCCCCGCCTCCACCGCCACCCCCGCCTCCACCGCCACCCCCGTCTCCACCGCCACCTCCCCCACCAGGACCGTCGCTCCCACCGCTCCCACCGCCTCCTCCGCTACCACCTCCGCCGCCACCTCCGCCTCCACCGCCGCCACCAGTACCTCCACTCCCGCCACCACCCCCACCGCCACCCCCACTCCCCCCTCCACCCCCACCGCCTCCTCCACCGCCCCCTCTAGCTCCACCCGCTCCCTTGCCCCCCTTGCCCTTGCCAGAGCGGCGTCTGCCGCTGGGGGCAGACGCCGCGCCGACCGACTCAAAACCAGCGAGGTCGGCCGCAGCAGCAGAGGCGACAGAGGGCAGCAGGGGGGAAGGACCACACCCCTCAAAAATGGGGGTGCGAGGGTCACCCCGAGAGGCCCCTACAGCGACAATACTCTTCTCAGCCGCTAGCAGGGACTCCTCAAGGAGGTCGACAGTGAGAGTGGTGGGACAGACAGAGAGAAACTGGTCCCTAACGACACGAAGGGACTCAGGGAGACGGGTGACGAGAAAGTAGAGAGTGATGTACATGGGAGGAGGGTTGGCAACGCGGAACTCAGCAGGAAGGGCAGCGCGGTAGCGGGTGTCACTAGCGTGGAGGTGGGTAACGAGGTCAGCAACAGTGGGAAAGGAAGCGAGGTCAGGGAAGAGAAACGGTAGCATGAGGCGGCTAAGGGTAGCGGAGGAAGGGGAGGAGCAGCGTGCAACTACAGCGTCGTACAAGGCCTGAGCGGTCTTGCACTGACGTAAGTGGGCACGCTCAGAGGAAGGGAGGTGGCGACGCACAGCAAGACGTGCAGCAGCATCGCGGGTCGCCCACTTGGAGCGAACGGCAGAGTCAGCATCAGCAGGCGGGGCAGGGACAGCGCCAGAGACAAAGTCAAAGAGAGAGACCTCATCTATCGCATCACACAGTAAGTACAGCTGCAGGTCTTCAATCCAGACGGCAAAGTCAATGGCCCTCCCCTCAGCGTCAAAAGTAAGAACATTGGGGGTGGCCATGGCAGCAGCTCAAAGTCTCACCGGGCTAGGAGAGTCGGGTAGGTCAGCAGCAGAGGAACACAGCTCAGGAACAGCAGCACGGCTCCTCAGGAGGCTCGGGCGGCTCGGGCTGCTGGGGCGGCTGGGGCGGCTCGGGCGGCTCGGGCGGCTCGGGCGGCTCGGGCGGCTCGGGCGGCTCGGCTGCTGGGGCGGCTCGGCTGCTGGGGCGGCTCGGCTGCTGGGGCGGCTCGGCTGCTGGGGCGGCTCGGCTGTTGGGGCGGCTCGGCAGCTGGGGCGGCTCGGCAGCTGGGGCGGCTCGGCTGCTGGGAGATGCAGCTGCGGGGCCGTCAGGCGCAGTGGCGGGCCGGCAGGTGCAGTGGCGGGGCCGTCAGGCGAAGTGGCGGGCCGCCGGGTGCAGGGGCGGGCCGTAGGGTGCAGCGGCGGGCCGGCAGGTGCAGTGGCGGGGCCGGCAGGTGTAGCTGCGGGCCGGTGGGATGCAGTGGCGGGCCGGCAGGTGCAGCAGCGGGGCCTTAGGGTGCAGCGGCGGGCCGTCAGGTGAGGCGGCGGGGCCGTCAGGTGAGGTGGCGGGCCAGCAGGCGAGGCGGCGGGCCGTCAGGTGAGGTGGCGGGGCCGTCAGGTGAGGCGGCGGGGCCGTCAGGCGAGGTGGCGGGCCAGCACGCGAAGCGGCGGGCCGTTAGGTGATGCGGCGGGCCGGCAGGTGAGGCGGCGGGCCGGCATGTGAGGCAGCAGGCCGTCAGGTGAGGCGGCGGGCCGGCAGGCACGGCGGCGAGGCCGTGAGGTGAGGCGGCCGGGCCGGCAGGTGCGGCGGCGAGGCCGGTAGGGTGCAGCGGCGAGGCCGATAGAGGTGCAGCGGCGGGGCCGGCTGCAGCGACGAGGAGGCCGCGCGGCCGACGTGAGGGCGGTGCGGCGCGGCAGCGCCGAGAGGGCGGTGCGGCGCGGCCGTAAGGCCTGCGCGACGTGGGGCCCGGGCCGCGCGCGCGAAAAAAAAGAAGTCGCGCGCGCGACTCTCGGGGCGCCACAAGGGCAGCGCGACACGCACTAGGGGGGAGCGCGCCTCGGGGAGAATAGGGCGCGCTCCGGGCAGGAAAAAAAAATCGTGGGTGGGCCCAAAGAACGGTCCTTAGGAGGGACCCGCTCTATACCATATGAAACTAAATGAACAGGAATGGTCAACTATGAAATGAAAACAGTACAAGTACCAACCCTAATTGGGTTGTACCCCTTATGTGCTACCCCACTACAGCCTACAGAAACAAGTAAGCTATATGTTTTGACAACGTCCTGCCGACGTGCAAAAGTATGGACACGAGTGCGGACATGGCAGCCACACAAGCCTTCTTTGCAGTCTCCGGGGCGTAGATCGCCGCGTTTGCGGCAGCTAGGGCATCCTTCTTAATATCCTCCCTCGACAACTTCCTGCTGGCCGCCCACAAGCTCGCCACAGTTGCTGCGATGGCCATCATGTGAGGTGTCGCCGCCATGCCCTTCGGGACCGGGTAAATCAGATTCCCGTGCTTCAGGCCAAGGGTCGCGACCTTACCAATCGCCACGCACAGCGCGATTCCCCTCTCGGTTCCAGCTTTCACTTCCTTTTTTGCCGTCGCCAAGAGCGACAGGTAACTGCACATCGCAAGAAATGCGTGAGTCAAGAGGCCAGAATTCGACCGACAGCACATTCACCGCAAAACAGATGGTGTTCGACAATTCACCAAAACAGCAGGAACTCGACAGCAGAGTATAGCAACATGACCACGACAGAACTTACTCGTCGAAACGACATTCCCCTTGTTCTTGCGCCACGCTCCAAACGCCGGTTGGCATTTCTGCGGCCGCATCGAGGTAGTCCTTCCAGTCCTCCTCATCCTGCGTCGTGTACCCTTCGTACTCCGTAAGGACAACGTCGGGGAAGTACACGCGCCAGCAGACGGCCGTACAGAACTTCTGGTCCTTCTCTGTTTCAAAAGTGCCAAGGAACCGCTTCCTCCCGCCGACGGTCTGCTCGGAAACCGGCTTCCCCTTCCGCAACCCAAAACCCGGTCCTTTGAAGGGACGTTTGCAGCCTCTCGTCTTGCCTTGGTCGTCCGGTCGAGGAGGTGGGGTGTGACCCGTGACCCTGGCCTTCTTCGCCTTTTCCTGTCGAGCAGCAACGACAATAGAGGTCTTCTCGACAGTCGCCTGACCAGGGACGCTGGCCAGCTCCACCACGTCAAGGCTCTCTGTCGCGTGTGCAGCGCGCTTCGACGACTTCGTCGCAGCCGGCTTCTTCTTCGACGTTGAAGGGGAGCCCGGATCGCTAAGACTAATGTTGCCTAGGGACGGAGCAGCGGCGACAGGCGCAACTGGAGGGGTCGAGGAAGACGCCCAATTTCCCGCAAGCCCGACAGCAAGGCCAGCACCACCGCCTTGCGCAGCTGATGCCGCTTTGTCTTCGACAGCAACCTAGCTCTTGCTTCTCCCGCTCCTTTCCCCGCACCGCCGCCTGACGGGGTAGAGGCACCTCGCATTCCTAGAGCTCTGTTCCCGGTCGAGGCGACGTGCTCCTTCGGGGCACCACTTTTCTCCCCCGCGACCACTCCTTTCCCACCCGTTTTCCCCATGCCTTGCAGCATGTCCCGCATCGAAGCAAACGCATCAGGTGGATCGATCGGAGCCGCTACGGAGGTCTTCGGGCGGGGCGACTGGTCGAGTACGATGACTTCCTCGACGGGCTTGGCGACAGGATGACGGCCACGCGCCGGTGGGGATCCAACCGGGCTACCGACATGTCCTCCCACCGAAGAAGACGGAGGAACCGACCGCTCGTGACCACGAGGCTCAGCCCCGCTGCGAACCCCTCCCACACCCTCCTGACGCGACCTCGTCGACGGGCCCGCCGAGCGCTGAAAACCTCTCGCCATCGCTTCGGTGAGGACTTCCAACCTCCCTGCTTCGGCTTCATGGTAGCCTTCCCTCACAATGTCCTTCAGCTCCTTCATGGTCTCGGGTGGGAGGGTGGAGCAGAACATGTCCTCCATCATGGTTTTCTCGAAACCCTTCAGCACCGCAGCAACCAGCCGCTCCTCGACCTGCTTGAGCTGCTTCTCGACGGCGTCTTCGCTCGCTTTTGTGATGGCGGCTGCCACCCCCTCGATGATCTTCCCGCTCATCTCGTCGATCTTCGCCCGCGCCCCTTCCAACAGGTTCCTCTCCGCCGTGACACCCTTCACAGCCTCGGCGCACTGCGACAGTGTGCTCTTCGACGACTCCGAAATCGTATTCCACGCCGTCCGAAAATCCGCAGCAAGCCTGTTGAATACTCCGGCTTGCTCAGTGTGTTTCGCAAAGACATCGGCGACGAGCTGCTTCTGCGACGCCTCGACCTTCTCGACCCTCTGCAGTAGCTCGACGACCTGGCCTCCCGGTGCAACGTTCACCGTCGACTGGCCTGCCGTCGAAGGCCACCAGGTCGAAGGGCCCGCCTGTCCGCTGCCACTGGCCGTGCGGTGACTCCTTGTTACGGCGGCCTGTCGCTCATCTCCTCGACGATACTCCTCAGCAGCCTCCCAGTCCTCCTGCTCCTGCCCTCCCGACCCACCCACCCGCGCAGCCGCAACCCTAAACGCCTGCTGCTGCACTCCTGCCCCACCCTCCTGCGCAGCCGCCACGCCCTCCTCCTGCTGCCCTCCTGCCCCGCCCTCTTGCGCAGCCGCCTCGCCCACCACCTGCTGCTGCCCTCCGACCCCACCCTCCTGAGCAGCCGCTCCGCCCTCCTGCTCCTCGACAGCCTTAGTTTCCCCTGTCGCCTGCTGCTCGATAAGCTCTACTCGCTCGTCCACCCGCTCCCCGAGCGCCACTCCGTGCTCCCCCGTACGCTCCGTTATATGTCCGGCGCCCTCGCCGTCGTCCTCGGCCGACTCATCGCTCGAGCTCGAGCCGGAGCTCGTTCCCGAGCTCGAGTCCTCGTCCTCGTTCGCATCGCCGCCCGGGCCGCTCGCCCCGTGCTGAGCCTGCCTCGATGTATCCTCCTCGATCTCCTCCTCCTCCTCGACGCTGTACTCAATCAGGACGCGTCCCGTCTTCTCGCCTCCTCCCTCATGGTCGGCACCCCCTCCCACACCTGCTCCCTCCGCCAGCTGGTCGATCTTTCTCGAAAACAGCTTCACCATGAACAACGGAAGCACACCCGGGCCAGGGTTCGTTCTCCCTAGATGCACGAGTTCGCCCTTTCGAGGCTGTAGGATGAAGTCGTCCCATTTCGTCAGAATACGGCGCACCCCATGCACGACACGAGCTGCCGCGCCGTTTTCAAAGGGGCTCGACAAGGCCGTCGTTGCCTGCGACGGGTACAAAACATACGTAAGCGACAAAACACATGCTCGACGAAAACGCCGGTGGTCTAAGGAGAGCTTACCAGATGGTCGAACTCCTCGATCAACTCCAGACGAAGGTCCATCACGTTCAACACTTCTTGGTCGCCCTCGGTCAGAGCCTGGTGGGTCATCGCGTACTCGGCGCGAAGCTGCTTCTTCATCCACCTGCGACGCAGCGGACAGAAGAGTAAGATTGTCGAGAACAGCAGATCGACAGCAGGGTGGCAAACCTGTCACTCACACGAAAACTTCTTGCGCCAGGGAAGATTGGTGGTTCATCTCGGGAAATTTGTCTTTCGAATCGAAGTGCATCATTCGAGTTCGACTGCCGCGGTGCCTCGGAGCCAGCAGATCGTCGGGGCGCGATACCACAAACAGGCTCGAGTGGGAGAACGGAGGCACACTCAGTCTGCATGCAGAGCCAATGCACGTGAGAACGGGTTCAGGGCTAAAGACGGAGCACGCAAGGCGACGGGAGAGTAGGCGACGGTAGAGTGTCGAACTCACGGTGTCCGCAGCAGAACGAAAACCACTTGCTTGCCGAGGAGGCCGTCGAGGTGGTTGTTCGCAAAAGCGACCGGGGTGGGGCGTGCCATCTCTTCACGCGCACGCGTCGGAGTCACGATCGACACCTTGGGGAGCTGCTCAACGGACAGCAGCTCATGACAGAACAGGCTGCACGGAAAGCTAAGGCAACGTCAGCGATTAGTAAACCCAAGCATGGCAAACCGAAAATGTTCGACAGGACACGTACACGACGCCCGCGACCATCATGCTCTCGTCGAGCTCTCCTTTCGGTGCCTCTCTAATCGCATTCAGCTGGTCCTCGTACACCTCCACCTCGACCCCGCCGGCACTAAGGATGAGGCCGCGTCAAACCGTCGCCTCGTTCATGACGGGTACGGAGGCGGAGCTCGTAGCCATGTCAGGCCTAGCACTGGAGAGGGCGGGCGTGCAGGGGAGTCGGGAACTAGCAGGGACTAGGAAGTAGGGAAGTAGAAATCGGAAACACCAACAAAATGAGACCGGACGAAGGGTATTACCTGTTTGCCATCCCTCCCACCGCGACGGACCAGGGGGGTTCAAGGGCGAGGAGGCAGGGCGCGTTCCGTTGACGCTGGAGGAGCTCTTCGCGGAGGCCGGCGGGGCCCTATTGGCGTCGACGTGAAACGTGGGGTGGGCCCCCTTGCGTGCAGCCGAAAGGCCCCTTCCAAGGTTCGGGAGGGGGCCTTCGACACGTCACCAAAATCGTGCGGGTTGAACGAAACGGGTTGAACGACATCGGTGGAGCGCGGCGCAGATGGGCGTCGATGTCGTCCGGCCTGCGAAATTTCGCCGACTGGTTCCGTCGGCGATGCGTCGCTCGGCGAGGGATGGGCGGGTTACCGGACGGAACCCGTCCACGAACCGAGCGAGTGGTTGGGCTCGGTGGGGAGGGGAACCACTGCGCGTGCTACTGGCGTCATCGGCAGCTGGCGCCAGCAGTTTTCGGGCGGGAGGGGGGGGTTGGCTCCCGCCCCTCGCGTGCCCCGCTAGGCGACGGCGGGAAATCGAAAATCCCTCCGAGGAAAACCCGCAGGGGCGAACGGGGTTTCCCGGAGGGATTCGGGCGACGTCTTCCCTATTATACACACACGGGTGACGTCAGCACATGCCGCCCCGCCCGCCCTGGCAAATTCGAAATTGAGGCAAAAACGAAAAACCCGCGGAATCCCTCCGGGCCCCCGAAATTGCCAGGCTGACCAGGCAAAAAAAACCCGCGGAAACCCGCGGGTTCAATGTCGTATTCTTATGCCAATATATATGTCGGCCGTACTGTTGCAATTTCGGGGACATTGGTCGAACAGTGCTCGACGGACATCGGCCAATCGCCCTCGAGCACCGTGCACCCCCGACGACACTGGTTACACCCGGTGGCAAGTCGCCAGGGAATCGCCTACACGGTGGCGCCGACGGTCGACGGTCGCGAAACGTGTTTCGCAACCGGCCGACGGTCGAGCAAACTGTCGCTGTCGGATGGGCGACGGGTCACGTCAGTCGCAGTCAAGCGGTCACGTCAACTGCTGACTGCTGTCTCAGTCTCCACGGGGAGCAACATCAGCCCAATGTCGCTGTATAGACCTGAATTCATAGTACAAGCACCACTGTTTCCTCAGCACGCCAGGATTTAGGGAGAACTGGTAGCTTTCGGTGGGCACTGATGGAGACCGATCCGTCGACGACAGCGCCTTCCCGGGAGGCGGACGTAGGACGTATACCTGTCGAATTGGAGTCCACATCGACACGACCCCCTTCGTCGTCTAGAGACAGGCCCCCTTCGACGACGCGTGCCATACCGGAGGTGGCAGCGCCCACCTCGACGTCGCGAGCCATACCGGTAGTAATACAGCCGGTCGTTACGGACCCACGTTCGACGGGTATTCCGGTCACTGTTGAAGTGGGTGGTGCACAGACCGAATTCCCTTCGACAGGTCAATCCATACCTGTTGTCGTAGAACCCATCTCGACAACAAATGCCCCCTTTACACACGAGGCTCCAGCTCACCGTGCACCATCGTCGACAGCCCACCGCTCGACGGAACCTTCGGCTGGTGCACCGACCTCGACAGTTGGGCGACGTAGGAGAGCGACGGCTGTTCCGCCTGAGGCTCGCCAACCACACCCAGCCGATACATCCGCTTCTCGAGCCGACCCCGCCGCTCGTAGGCGCACTTCGACGAGACCAAGTAGAGAGGACTTGGCCAGGAACGTCCTTGAAGCGACGGACGATGAGGATGTTCGGACGGGAGAACAGCAGGAGGCGGACGATGTCGAACCGCCGGACCCTCTGCGGCCTGCTGCGGCAAATATATCAGAGGAGGATGCCGCGCACATTCTCGGCGACCAACCGGGCGCAGACAATCCGTACTTGGCGGCCGGAACACTTAAAAGCAGGATTCTCCGGTGTGAGGTTCCGCTGCTGGGAGTTGACCAGGATTCCACACGGCCGAACTATGTCTCTGGAAGCATGCACTACAAAGCTTGGGCCTGTAAAATTCTGGCACCCGAGAGAAGCAACGGAGTGCCTAAAGAGGAGCAGGTGATCTACGAGGACGAGATCGGTAGGGAGATCGGCGACGATATGGGGCCGAGATGGAGGGAGGCGCTGCGTAACGAGGAGCACCTGCATGGGCCGAAAATAACGAAATGGCGCTTGCGCGCGTACGTCGAATACATGTCGACTGAAACCGACCAACAGGCGGCATCGTTGGACACAGGCCGGTCCAGAGTCGCTGGAAGGAAGGCAAAAAAAAGCACCCCTCCGATGATGCTGGCGCGCCTCACTGCGCTGACGTGCTTCTACAGAGTAGAGGCCATACTCTTCGACGAGCCACTAACGAAGCCTTTGGACGACATCACCAAGGCCCGGCAGCTTCTTGCGGTCAAGCTGCGGCAGCTGCACGACTTTCAGTTCGAGTAAGTAGGCTCCCATGCACCGGACTCTAAAACTCACCGCTCAAATTCTCACCCAAGTGTTCGCTGTATCTGCCCACCCAATGCAGGCAGTGCGTCGATCCACACCGGGGCTCGCTCGACGATGTTTACACGGAGGAGCAGTTCCGCATTCTCGTTTCAGACATCCTGCCGTACTGGGCCAAGGAGTACTTTCGGGAGTCGATGAGCTACCCCAGTCAGTCGCTGTGGAGGGCCTTGGCCGTGAGGGTGATGATCCTGATGGCGCATCACATGCTGGGCAATATGTTCACTCACGTCCTTCCGCCCATCACGAACAGCAAGGGGGAATCGTCGATCCACGTTCTCGTGGTCGCCTATCGCAACTCGAAGACCATCAAAGACAACAAGCTCGGCCACCTGTACCTGACTCGACACATGGACTTCCGGCAGTGCGGCTTCGGAGCAGTGTTCATGTGGATACATTTCATTTTCGACCTTGTGCCGCTCCACTACAACAACGATAAGATCGTGCCCCCCTTGGATTTCAGCAACCCGGAAAACTGGTCAAAAAAGCACCTGTTCTTCGCCCTCTTCGACAGGGATAAGACCGAGTTGCCGTACGCGACTCATGCCAAATGGGTTACCTGGGCGATGAAAAGCGCGGAGTGGATCCTGTCGAAAGTCACACATATTTTTCGACGGTCTGCGGCACAGATCCTCGCCGACAAAAACTGTGAACTCGACAACATCGCGCAGCTGGGTCAATGGGACATGAACGAGATGCGCAGGTCATACGTCACAGGCATCCCGCGAGGGGCCATCCAGCTGCAAGCGGGTTTCACGACGGAACCCGGTGACTATTACCTTGGAAGATCGAAGACCGAAATACCCGCGAAGGTCCTGAAGGCTATCGAGGAGCACATATTTCCAAAGGCGGAGCAGTGGCTCGACGAGGTATGGATGCGTCGAGCGCTTTGCGTGATCATCGAATGCAAGTTTTTGCATTCGATCTATCTCTCAATGTCACCCTGTTTGTTCTTGTTCAGGCGATGGAATGGAACAACGAGCAGGACAAGGAGCATATGTTCTTCGCAGCGAAAAGTTTCTTGAAGGCCCTGCAAGTCGCCCGAATGCCCATCGCCGAGGATCTTGCGATGTACTACGTCCATTGTGACGACCACCCCTTCGACGGAGTGACTGTTTGCGACTGCGAGCGTCACCCTTATGTACAGATGTCCGGTTTGTGCAAGGACATGGATTTCCAAAAATGGGCGCTTGACGTGTACCTGCTCGACAAGTACGGCATCGAGATGCGGACCAACCCCACACTGTCGAGAGCCTCTGTAAGATGGCCCTTATAA